GATTAACGAAGCGTCCATTAGATCGTTAAGATTTACCCGAGGCTCCACTTTGCTCGCCTGGACACGCCGCGATCTTAATTATAAGAAGGCGTCTTCTTCCCTTTTCGAGAGAGAGAAGAGGGATGTCTGACTAGAGACGGCTAAATCTACTTACCGCTGTGAAGCGACTTTGTACAGTTTCTCTCTTCGTTCTTCTCGGAGGAATCGCGGTTTCCACTGATGTTTAATTGTAGTAGAGAGGGTTCGATCGTTTCCTTTCATTTTTACGGTTCGATTGGTACGTGACGAATTTTGTAACACGTAATAGTAATTGTCTATTCACAGCGAGGCGTAGACAATATCTCGTTTGTGAGAATTGGGCAGTTAGTGAATGTGAAGCGGAGTGGAATCTATCGAAGTCTACCGAACTTAGCTGAGATCTACTGAACTTTGGTGAATCCTGTTCAAATCTACCTAAAATGGAACCTATAGAAATTTACTAAAATCTACTGATATCTCTTGAAACTTTTTCAAACCTATAAGAATTTACTCAAATCTACTGCATTCTACCTGATACGTCTTGAAATTTTTTGAAACCTATAAGAATTTACTCAAATCTACTGTATTCTACTGATATCACTTGAAGTTTTTTCAAACCTAAAGTAATTTACTAAAATCTACCTATTCAAGCCTACTGTATTCTACCGACATGATTCGAAATCTTTTGAAACCTACAGAAATTTACCAAAATCTACTGTATTCTACTGATATCTCTCGAAATCTTTTGAAACCTAAAGAAATTTACTAAAATCTACCTATTCAAATCTACTGTATTCTACCGACATGATTCGAAATCTTTTGAAACCTACAGAAATTTACCAAAATCTACTGTATTCTACTGATATCTCTCGAAATCTTTTGAAACCTACTAAAAAACCTTACTGAATGTGAAGCAAGCCTCGTTGTCGCCACAATTTCAATACAAAACTATTCGCCACTCAAAATTCACCAAAAAGCTATTAATATCCTAAAGAAGAACGATCCATTCTACACTCTCTAAGCATAACAAGTACATATGCACATTTTTACCAACACCTCACACAAACTTCTCCAAGGAAATGTAATTTAAATCACGTAACACTTTCTACACGAGCATAACGTGTATCCTAGTACTTCCATCCCCCAATATCCACACATACCTCCTAATTAGCATATAGCCATTCGTATCGATCGACGACGAAGCAATTTCACCCAAGGAAAATCACGTACACACGGCGTACAACGAACCGGAAACCGGATCGATTCAAAAATTACGCGAAGTTGACGTTTGGTGCAGGTGTAGCAAGCGATAAAAAAAAAAGAGAGAGAGAAGGAGGAGGTTAATAACAGAAGATACGTGAGGGAATATAACGGAGGGAAAGGAACGACAATTCCCAATCACAGAGAACCGTGGTCCGTGTCTCGACTGTAAACCCACATAATTCTCGAGCCAGGCCTCGAAACGAGTGTACCGCCAATTCGTGTTATGTCACTTCTCACTCGGGTTACTTTTGCCACGCTCGACAATCGGTATCACCGAGCTTCCACTCCGTCGAGCAAACGACCGATCGATTATCGTGCCTGCATTTCCCTGGTTTCGCGCGCGGAACGAATTTATCGGAAGCCTGGTGTATAAGCAAACTGGCTGTTTGGCCCTGGCTGAAACTTCGTTGATCGGATTATTCGCTGGCGTTCACGACGTTATGGTTCCACCATGGAAATTACGTTTACCGTTCGCGTTTACTCGCCTCTGCACGCGTCGGGAAATTTCGTTCGACCGAAGGGCTGTTTTCATTCTGGAATGGAAAATAAGCGATACGGTTTTTTTAGTACGATTCGATTGGATTTTGAGCGGAAGGTGTGCAGGTCAAATTTGTGGTAACTGAATGACCGTGGAGGGAGAACTGGTAATTTGGCAGATATTTGTCATGATAATTGTTCGAATCGCTGATTTTCAAGCGGTGTGTCCAAGACTTTTTAATGCGAGTTTAATTTGAGCAAAAGGTGTGCAGGTCAAATTTGTAATAATTAATTCATTGTAAAGTGAACTGATAATTTAATAAACATTTATTATTATAATAGTTTGAACCACTGATTTTTAACGTGAGTTTGAAAAGTTAAAGTAAAAAAATATTATTCTCTTTTGCTGTATTCGCATAATTGTTTCAAAGCCACCAAGTTTCTATCGCGAAGGTATTCGCAATTTGCTTGAAAAATGGCAAAAGATCGCCAACGATTCATTTTCATTTCTTTTAAAAAATTCTTCAATTGTACCTAAAAGTCGAAGGGAATTCATTTCTACACCTAATATTTTTCGACGTGCCCTAGAATTTTATTAAATAGTCTACACACGCCGTAAAATAAGAAAGATTAAAAATCGCAGGTTCAAGCTCGCTGTGACTCCTAAAAATTAACGTCCTCGATCCTCCACGCTTCGCAGTTTCCCAATCAGCTGATCCAGCGCCTTCGCGAATCATAATCAAACGCCGTCTTATGCAACGATTATCAAAATCGAACACGTCCGACGATTAATTAGCGTCTGCAGTCTATTACATGGAACTTTCGTGGATTACATAAGCCCCGGTATTCCAGCAAAATGAGTAAACAAACGAGCAAAACTTTCCTTCCTATCTGACACGGATTTGCCACCGAGAAAAAGAAAAAAGACAAAAAAATAGTTATTTTGCAACGAGGCACGGAGATCAGGGGGAGAGAAGCTGGTTGGACCGCTTTCAAGCGAAAAAGGCCGAACAGGGCTGTGTGTATCACCCTCGTGAAGAATTTTCACGGATTATCGCGTCCAGACTCGCCGACCACTGATTAACTCTCGCGTTATTACATAACGAAATTAGTCGCACGTGGTCCGCGAGCCTACATGGTTAGCAGAGCGTGCAGAGTGTGCCGTGGAAAATATCGACCAGTGGAGAGAAATGTCGCAACCAGATCTCACTTCCGGAACGTTACGATGACAATGCACCCTTCTTAGAGGAATTCTTTTTCTTTTTTTTTCTTTTTAGGTTCACTAGGTCTTCGAGATTTCAGAAGCAACGCGAGATACGTGAATTGAGCCTTCTTCGCGATGACTGCGTGTCTTTTTGAAGAACAGAACCGATTGTTCCC